TACCCGACTTTTAAGGTGGTACAGCTTAGAGCCAAGAGGCCCCCAAATGCCTGCAATTTCCCGAGAGGAAAGTAAGAGCAGAGTGAGCACACAGCTTCCCCAGCCTCAGGGGAAATTGCCCAAGAGGCCCCCTTCAGCCTTGCCCCACTTGGCTCTCTGGATGGATTGGCATGGCTGCATAGTTGGCAGGGGGAGCCAGGAGCAAGGAAAGATTAAAAAGCTCACAGCAGCCGGGCGCAGTGGCTCATGCCTGTAATCCCAGCACTTTGGGAGGCAGAGACAGGCGGATCACAATGTCAGGAGTTTGAGACCAGCCTGATCAATATGATGAAACCCTGTCTCTACTAAAAATACAAAAATTAGCCGGGCGTGGTGGCGGGCACCTGTAATCCCAACTACTCAGGAGACTGAAGCAGGAGAATTGCTTGAACCCGAGAGATGGAGGTTGCAGTGAGCCAAGATCGCGCCATTGCACTCTAGCCTGGGTGACAGCAGGAGATGATGTCCCAAAAAAAAAAAGAACAAAAAACCCTCCTGGCAACCATCACATATAGCCAAAAAAGCAGCTGCAGATCTGACTAATGATTTGTGGAGCCCACCAAGAGATCCACTCGTAAACCTACTGCAATACCTCACATGCAGCCCCTACAACTGGCTGATGTGGTCCCCAGCACCTTGATCCACCTGCAAGGTCTCCCACATGAGCCTTCGCAGACACTGAGCACATGCCTCCATAAAGAGCACTCGCACATTTCCACAGACAGCATGTGGAGATCAGCAGCCAGCTCAACTCTACAGGATTGAGAGAGGGCACAGAACTTTCAGCAACTCAGGGCTGCTCGCTCAGGAAAAATAACCAGGAGACACGCACCTGCACTAAGTTTGCAGGTTGAGAGAGAACCCACAAATCATAAGATGCCCCCAACAAAAAGAAACAAGAGGAGTGAGGCAGAGTATCCATGAAAAGGGGGTTATGCCTTTTTATAGGTGCGGTGGGTCACGCCTATAATCCCAGCACTTTGAGAGGCTGAGGTGAGTGGATCACCTGAGGTCGGGAGTTCAAGACCAACCTGACCAACATGGAGAAACCCTATCTCTACTAAAAATACAAAATTAGTCAGGCGTGGTGGCGCATGCACATAATCCCAGCTACTCAGGAGGCTGAGGCCAGAGAATTGCTTGAACCTGCAAGATGGAAGTTGCAGTGAGCCGAGATTGTGCCATTGCACTCCAGCCTGGGCAACAAGAGTGAAACTTAATCTCAAAAAAAAAAAAAAAAGGAGGGGGTTAAGTTACCAGCCACCAAATAAATTTCTAACTGGGCTGTCTGGTACAGGTGTTTCTCTTTTGAAACCAGTCAATAAAGACCGAAAGAGGGGACTGCTTTCTCAAATGCAAAGATAGCAACAAAGAAGCTTAAGGAACATGGGGGAAAAAAGCAAAAATAACATCGCCAGAGAAAAAAACAAAGCTCCAATGACCAACCTCAAAGAAATGGGGATCTATAAATTGAATGATGAAGATTTCAGAATAATCATTGTTAAGGAGCTCAGTGAACTTAAGAGAAAATAGATGGACAACTCATGAAATAAGGCTGACATTTTATGTGTAGAATGAAAAATTAGATAAAAAGGTACATCCATGTAACAAAAAACACTTGTACCCGAAAAGCTATCAAAATTAACTTTTTTTGAGATGGGGTCTCCCTCTGTCACCCAGGCTGAAGTGCAGAGGCACAATCTTGGCTCGGTGCAGCCTCCACCTCCCAGGCATGGGCCACCACACCTAATTTTTTTTTTTCCTGTATTTTTGGTAAAGATGAGGTTTCTCCATGTTGCCAGGCTGTTCTGTAACTCCTGAGCTCAAGTGATCTTTCTGCCTCAGACTCCCAAAACGATGGTATTACAGGCACAAGCCACCATGCCCAGCTGAAATTTTAAAATATTTTTAAAAAGAAATCATAAACAGAACCAAATAAAAATTCTGGAACTGAAGAATACACTGACTGAAATAAAATATTCTACGAAGAGCTTCAACTGCAGACTTGATTAATCAGAAGAAAGAATCAGCAAACTTGAAAAATATTTAAAATTACCCAATCAGAAAAGCAAAAAACGAAACTGAATAAATGAAGCCTGCAGAGTAAAAAATGCACAATGAAAGAGTCTCTTCAATAAATTATATTGCACAAATTGGGTATCTTCATCAAAAGAAAGAAGTTGGGGCTGGGCATGGTGGCTCACACCTGTAATCCCAGCACTTTGGGAGGCCGAGGCAGGCAGATCACCTGAGGTCAGGAGTTCGAGATCAACCTGACCAACAAGGTGAAGCCTCATCTCTACTAAAAATACAAAAATTAGCCAGGCATGTTGGCAAGCGCCTGTAATCCCAGCTACTCAAGAGGTTGAGGTAGGAGAATTGCTTGAACCCGGTAGGTGGAGGCTGCAGTAATTGTGCCACTTCACTCCAGCCTGGGTGGCAGAGCAAGACTCCATTAAAAAAAAAAAAGGAAAGAGAGAGAGAGGGAGGAAGGAAGGAAGGAGAGAAGGAAAAGAAAAAAGAAAAGAGAAAAGGAAAGGAAAGAAAGAGAAAGAGAGAGTCCCTGCATCTGATTGTCTGTCTTCTCTCTTGGCTCTTCCTCTTTCCACTAATAACAGTTCGGTGTTTTTGCTTCATTTCCCCTAAACTATATCTGTCCTGCTTTCCACTGTGACCTCACTGCCCAAACTTCCTGGACTTCCTTACACTGGAGTAGACACTGGGACCTGCTCAGCCCTCCTGTGCTCTGCAAGTTGTAAAAAAAATTCACAAATCCTCTGCTATGTCCAGACTGTTCACCATTTCCTAAAGACTTCATTTACCCACCTGTCACCCTCAGAGTCAGAGTCAAACAAGATGTTATGGGAGAAAACACTGTGCTGATGGTTGAAAAGCAACCAGAGAAAAAAGACAGAGATGCCGAAAAAGAGACGAGACACCCAGAAAGACAGAGAGAGAGAGACAGGGACAGAGATAGAGCAGGGAGAATGTGTCCCATGTGAACCAGAGGAAAAATCAGTCAGGATGTTCACACAAGAATGCAAAGATATGGAGCACAGCATTGGGAAGTAGATCCCAGGAGGAAATTAAACCGGAGCGCACATAGAAAATTAAATCTCAGTGCCAATTAAAATTGGGTAGGCCAGCCAGGCACCCACCTTCTTTGAACCAGGACAGAAACCCTCCAGCACAGTGAGCTGCAGCCTGTCCAGGGGTTCATAACGTGGAGTCGGGAGCCTCATGAGGGTCTGAAGCCCCGCCTCTGAGACATGGCTGACCTTGCACAAGTTACTTCATGTCTTAGTCCATAGTTTCTTTTTTTTTATGAGGAAAATAATATAGGGCACGCTGTGGAGTGTTTGTAGGAGAATTTAATATGTCAATGTTTGCCTAGAACTAAATTAGCAACTGCCCCACAGAAAGAGCTGGCTGAATTTTTGCTGAATTAAAAATCTTTCTACAAAAAATATTCTTAAGTACTCTCTTTGTAATGGGCATGCAGGCTTCTTTTCTGGGTCCCTTCATTTGTTTGTTTGGTTTGATTTTCTGGGATCGTTTTAGTATTCTTTTTTTCATCGACAGATAATAATGGTGAATATTTATGGAGTGCAATGTTGTATTACTCTGTTTACACACTGCTATAAAGAACTACCCGAGACTGGGTAATTTATAAGGGAAAGAGGTTTAATTGCCTCCCAGTTCAGCGTGGCTGGGGAGGCCTCAGGAAACTTAGAACCATGCCAGAAGGCAAAGGGGAAGCGGGCATCTTCTTCACAAGCAAGCAGGAAGGAGAGTGAACACAGGAGGAATTACCAAACACTTATAAAACCGTCAGATCTCATGAGAACTCACTCACTATCAAGAGAACAGCATGGGGAAAACTGTCCCAATGATTCAATTACCACCACCTGGTCTCTCCCTTGACACGTGGGGATTATGGGGATTACAGTTCAAGATGAGATTTGGATGAGGACATGGAGCTAAATCATATCAAATGTTTTGATACTTGTTTACACGTGCAGTTCTCCTCAGGTGGGGTCTCACCAGAAGCTATGCCCATTGGAGTCTCTACTTCAGCCTTGTTACTGTTTGGGGTTTTGTTTTTGTTTTTTAAAGACAGGCCCGGCACTGTGGCTCACACCTGTAATCCCAGCACTTTGGGAGGCCAAGGCGGGTGGATCACGAGGTCAGGAGTTCGAGACCAGCCTGGCCAAAATGGTGAAACCCTGTCTTTACTAAAAATACAAAAACTAGCTGGGCATGGTGGCAGACACCTGTAATCTCAGCTACTCAGGAGGCTGAGGCAGAAGAATTGCTTGAACCCAGGAGGCAGAGGTTACAGTGAGCCGAGACTGCGCTATTGCACTCCAGCCTGGATGACAGAGCAAGATTCCATCTCAAAAAAAACAAAACAACAACAACAAAAAACAGACCCTATAGGTAGGTGGATATTCAGATGTGCCTCAACCAAAGCAGGCTCAGTGATTTCTTGGTTTCCTGGGCATGGGAGTGTGCGTGCACATCTGTCCGTGTGTATGCATGTGTGTGAGAGCATGCATTCCTGTGCATATATGTGCAGGTGTGGACTGGTAGGGTCAGCTCTCTGCCTTCACCCAGCTGAACCTCCTTCATTCATTCTAATATCTAGTATCCGTGGTGATGGTTGCACTGGTGAATTTGATTGTGGTTATCAGCCAGGCACGGTGGCCTACGCCTGTAATCCCAGCACTTTGGGAAGCCAAGGCGGGTGAAGTACCTGAAGTTGGGGGTTCGAGACCAGCCTGGCCAACATAGTGAAACCCCGTCTCTACTAAAAATACAAAAATTCGCCAGGCATGGTGGTGCATGCCTGTCATCCCAGCTACTCGGAAGGCTGAGGCAGGAGAATCACTTGAACCTGGGAGGTGAAGGTTGCGGTGAGCCAAGATCATGCCACTGCAGTCCAGCATGGGCAACAAGAGTGAAACTCCATCTCAAAACAAGAAAAAAAAGATTGTGGTTATCATGGCATAATGTATGGGTATAACAAATTATCACATTTTACGCCCTGAATATGTACAATCTTTATCAATTAAATTTAAAAAAGAAAATGCTTTCTTTCTGACACCTCCTTTGTAGGCTCTGTTTCCTTTTCTTAGCTTTGAACAACTGTGAAGGCAGAGGCTGGGTCCAAGTGACCTGTGCACCGAGGACCAGGAACGGGGCTGCCAGATGTGAGGTCTTCAAAATAATTTATTGATGCACAGAGGAAAGCGTGATGCAGAGAATTGGGCTTAGCTGTCAGCTGGGTGTGTATAGCACAGTCTCAAGGTTAGCACATGACTTCTGGGACGGTCTTTGGGGTCAGCCGGGAAGATAATTACGGCAGTCTCTGGGATCGCTGAAGGTTCACAGGAGACACCTGGGACCAGTTTGGGGGCTGCATCACTACTCAGGAAATCAGCTGACTGGCGGTAGCTGGGTCTCTGGAAATAGACTGATGGCTGTAGCTGGGACTCTAGAAAACGCAAGTGACTTTAGCGGGGTCTCTGGAAACAGCCAGGTAACTGTAGCTGGGTCTCTAGAATCAACTAAGAAACAGTCTGTCCAAGGAGCTGCTCAACTGTAGAAGGGACCAGCTGGCTAACGAGCCTTCTGCATGCTGGTTAGAAACCTCCAGTCTCCAGCTCTTGTCTCCAGGAGATCTGCCTGGGGGCCTTTCCAGACGAGGATGAGTGCAAGCAGGAGCCTTCCAAAGGGCTGCTTCAGGCTTTTCCTAGAGTCTTCAGGTGCAGAGGCCAGGTGGGCCTGCGGTCAGCGTTTGACAATGGCTGCGTACGTGCTGGTCTCGGCCAGGGGCTCTGTGGACTGTGGGGACACAGCCTGGGCTGTCCTGTGTGTGAGGGCCCTCTGGTCCAGCTGAGCATATGTTACCTCCTGGGGGCCTTCTGCAGTCGGGGCCTGGGAGAGAGAGAGCCAGGGTGAGGGAGAGGCTGGTAGAGGGTAAGGATGTGGGGCTGTGGGGGTGGAGGGCTGGGATTGCCATCTCCATGGGCCCTGAGGACCCGCTCCTGAAATTGCATCCGTGTGAAGAGCCCACCCACAGGGTGTGAGGGTTGGTCTGTGTGACAGTAAACAAGGCAGAAGGGAAGATTCCTGACTTCCAAGCTGAGGCAAAAGACATTGTGTTCTGCCCTCCCCCCACCCTTGGGTCCCTCCCTCTGGGGGAAGCTGGCAGTGTGGAAAGGCCCCTGTGAGAGGAACACAGGCTTCCTGCCGCAGCTGTGGGAGTGAGCGTCTCAGATGTGGAGCCTCCAGCCCACAGGACCCTTCAGATGCACACAGCCCTGGGCAACCTCTCGACAGCAACCTCAGCACAGACTGTGAGCCGGAACTGCCTAGATGAGCAACTCCTGAATTCCTGACCCAAGGAACTGCGACTTTTTTCAAGCTGCTAAATTTGGGGTACTTTGATAATTAGCAGGAAGGCTCACCGACATGTTGGTCTCTCTGTCCTTCTCAGGAAGTGCATCAACTGTGGCCATGTCTGGGGGACAGGACACATGGTCAGTTTCCTGGGGAGGATGTCACAGGGCAAATCTGCCTGAGACCCCCCACTTCAGATGTCATCCTGCATCCAATCTATAATATGACCTTCTAGAATGTTCCTGAAGATTCTTCCCCTCTCCCCCCGCATTGCATCTGGATTGGCACCAAGTTCCCACTTCCCTGTCCCAGGCCTGTCCCTCCTCCTTCCCCTTTACCTGCTTTTCTCTCTAGAACATCAATGGCCAGGTTGGGCCTGAGAGGAAAAATAAAAATGAACATTAGGGGCAGCCTGGCGGCAGAGGACTGGATGGACGTCCAGGACTCATTCCCAGGGGCCTCACCTCTGCTGTGGCTTCTGCTCCTCATCCTTGCTTCTTGGGGGCCCTGAGGACAGTTGGGGTCTGAATTAAGGAGACCTTCTTCCTAGCATCTCCTGACAGCTTCCCCAAGTCACTCCACCCTACCCCTGGCACCTACCCTGCTTTATCTGATTCTGGCGATGGAGGAAGAAGAGGACCATGAGGAAGAGACAAAAGAGGAAGACCACCGAGACCGTGATGAGAATATAAAGATGCTCAGCTTTCAGGCCTTGGGGAGCAGGGGCATCTAAGAAAGACAGAAACAAGTTTTCAGCAGTGTGTACTTATTGAGCACCTACTGTATACCACACACATGTCATGTGTGTGTCACAGACTTACTAATATATCAAATCCTTCAGATAAATAATCGTCCCACAGCACAAGGATTAAAATCTCTCAGGGGAATAATGGTCCTGCAGCACAGGGATCATTTTCCCTTCTTCCACCACTGGGGTCCTGAGTGCTGGGTCCTCTGCATAGGGACACAGCCAGCCATTGGCAGAGCAGGAATCTGACAAACTCCAAAGCCTGACCTCTTTCTCCTTCCCCAAGAGGGACACACCAGGCTCATGCTCCACAGTCCCCAACACTCACGCTCATTGTTACTGTTGTCTGAAGGCCTTGGCGTGGGTCCTGGGAGGGAGGAATCAGGAGGTGGAGGCAGATCCCTGAGCTGGACAGAAAAGGTTCTGAGTCCTCCCATGCCCGCTGCAGGAATCTCCCTTCATTCCCCAGGACCCTGACCACTCCTTCTAGACCAGCACCCCACCCAGCAGAGTCTTCTGTGATGATGGAAACTTTCTACATCTACTGTCCAAAATGAAAGCCACACGTTACTATTGATATTTAAATGGCATGAGAACCTAGCTGCACTGTCTGCATCTCGAGGGCTCAGTGACCACGCGTGCCTAATGCCATCCCTATTGTACAGAGCAGCGTTAGACATCGCTGCTCTCTGCCCCCTGCAGATCTAGGCAGAGACCAACCACCTGTAAGAAGAGGAAAAGAGCCCTTCCCTCCCTGACCTCCTTCTGGGTTCCCACCAGAATGCAAGAATCCCCATGTCTGATTTTATCTGCCCTAGCGGCAAACCCCTGATGGGGGATGTAACCCGCCCTCCTGTGGGAAGAATCCAAGGCCTGCTGTGCTCCTGTTTCCTGAAGGCCTGCAGCTAGCAGGCGAGTGTGTGCGGCACCGGCCAGGCTCCCTGTTCAGGGCTTGTCTGTCATCTCGATTATCCACCTTCCTCTGCACAGTGCACACCACTACCCACTTCATAGGTGACCAAACGGGGTCCTGCAGGGCTCTCCCAAACCCAGGGTCCCTCTTCCAGGAACAGCGGCCCCTCTCCTCCCCTGTCTGGAGGCAGGGTCTTTAACATCCTTCAAGAAAGGCAGACAGGCCGGGCGCGGTGGCTCAAGCCTGTAATCCTAGCACTTTGGGAGGCCGAGGCGGGTGGATCACGAGGTCAAGAGATCGAGACCATCCTGGTCAACATGGTGAAACCTCGTCTCTACTAAAAATACAAAAAATTAGCTGGGCATGGTGGCACATGCCTGTAATCCCAGCTACTCAGGAGGCTGAGGCAGGAGAATTGCCTGAACCCAGGAGACGGAGGTTGCGGTGAGCCAAGATCGCGCCATTGCACTCCAGCCTGGGTAACAAGAGCGAGACTCCGTCTCAAAAAAAAAAAAAAAAAAAAAAAAAAAAAAAAAAAAAAAAAGGCAGACATTCTCTCTTGGAGTGTCCTTCTCTCATGCCTCCTCCAGGGTCCAAGACCCAGCACGCTATGCCTTATTCTACACCATGACTGCCTGGGCTTGGTCTTTATAACATTTGCCACCATTTAAAAAATTACGTATGTACTATGTATGTGCAATATTGCACTTTTTATAATATTTATGGTTATATGTATCATGTATTATGCAAATGTACAATATATAACAAATATATATTTTTAATTATGTAGTCGACATGTACATGCTATTTAATGAATATGTTAAATGTATATGATTTATAATTACTTATAATATATGTTACATATATTCACTATAATAATGTGTAATTTATATTGCTGATAAACCTATAATTAAATATAAAATGTTTTTCTATTATAATTATACATAATATATACATAATAGATAATATATATTTACATGAATTCCTATATTTATTAATGATAACACTTGAATTTATTACACTATATATTGCAAATATATATTTCATATAACATATAATATACATTATAGTCATATGTAGTGATACACTAACATATTTTTATTATATAATTATGTTTCTTATATATGTAATATATGATGTAAATGTATTTAATATAATTTAAATTATAGATCTGAAATTGTACATTGCAAATCATATATTTTTATTTGTGTATGCATGTAAAGGCATATGTGCATTTCTATTACTCATTCTAACTATTTCTCCCCATTGAGGTTCACAAGGTGGGACGCCATTTCTTCTCATTCATGGTGCATCAAATCCGGAGGCTTCCATGCCTGGCACAGTCCCTGTGAGTACAAAATACTTCACCCTCCTTGGGAGTTTTCTAATCAGCACTGATGGAAGCACTGTGTGTACCTGAACTCAAGTGTCCCCTAAACAATTCTTTTTTTCTTTTGTTTTGAGATGCTCTGTCACCCAAGCTGGAGTGCAGTGGCGTGATTTTGGCCTCCTGGGTACAAGCAGTTCTCTGCCTCAGGCTCCCCAGTAGCTGGGATTACAGGTGCCCACCACCACTCCTGGCTAATTTTTTTTTTTTATATTTTTGGTAGAGATGGGGTTTCACCATATTGGCCAGGCTGGTCTTGAACTCCCGACCTCATGATCCACCCGCCTCAGCCTCCCAGAGTGCTGGGATTACAGGTGTGAGCCACTGCACCTGGCCTCCCCTAAAGGATTCTGCAGGGACAGCTTTTTCATTGCCTATTTTTCACATGAGGAATTTGGGACACAGGAGGTTTGTGTGAGTCACCGTCAGGCACAGAGCTAAGGGGTGGCAGAACCACCGGGACTTGAACCATGAACCCAGCAACCTGGCTGCAAGGAGGGTCTGTCCTTGTAACTTTTATATGTCACTGCATGAAAGATGAGAGAGGAGATAGGGAAGGAGAGGGAAGATATTCCTGCAGACAGAAGGCCAATTAAAACCAGACGCTGGACTTGAACCAGGTCTGCTGGACTCAGGAGCACGTCCCACTGCACCCTGGCAGTCCAGGAGCCTCTCAGGGGGTCTGGATGGAGCATAGCATCACTCCTCCACCTCCCATGTGGCTTTAGCCCCTGGTCCCACCTGTCTGAGCTCAGAGCCCGAGCCTCACAGACTGTCACTGCTCTAGGTCAAGGACGACCACTCTAGCGATGGGAACACAGGTAGGGAAGGGTCTGTGGATGGCTTCTGACCCCTTGTCCTTGCCTGGGAGGTTCTGGTCACAGACCACAGCGGGAGATGGACAACTTGACACCCAGGGACCTGGGGCAGCTTTACTCCAATCACAGAGTCCGGGGCAGAGCCAGATGGAAGGGAAGCCTCACATAGGTCCTCTTAAGGGACCTTACTCCACTGTTCAGGCCTCCCCTGGAAATCACATAGCCAACAGGAGCCTCCGGGGTCCCTCTCCGGGTGCCCCAGGTTGGAAGGTGAGTTCTCAGTCGCTCGCAGGTGCAGAGCGGGGTGAATGGTGAGGACACGCCCACAAAGGGGCAGCGTGGAGCTCGGGCAAGCCCGGGAGTCTGGGGTGTGGCTGCCCGGGTGGGTGGCCCCTGCCCCTGCCCCTTCATAGCCTCCTGCCTTTGAGCAAGAAACTTGAATTTCTGCGTTGCATATTAGAGAGGAGGAGGAGTTAGAGAATCAGCCTAGTACCTCCGCCATAGAGTGGGGTTTGCGTCCACGGTGCCTGGCGTGGAGTGAGGTTGCAGTCGAGGTACCATTGCTGCTGTGGTCTCTATGAGCATCAGCAACCTCGCAGAGCTGGGCAGTGTCAGTCCCTTCCCACGGTCTCCCTAGTCCTTGACTCCAAGCCCAGGGCCCAGGGCTGGACCCAGAGCTGCATCCCCAGCACAGATCCCGCTGTAATCCCCTCCTGCTGAGGAACATACTACTGACCTGCTGAGGAGCTGGGCTCTGTGCACCAGGAAGGGGAACGGGGAGAGGGGGAGTCGCTGTGGGGGGAGGGGGGTGGGTATGGGGGGAAGCTGGCACTCCCAGGAGTTCCTGTAAACAAGAGCAGGAGAAATATTTAGAACCGTCCCATCCAACCTGCTCTCCTCCCCCGTGAGCCCCCTCCAAAAGCCCCATGTTCATCACACAATCCCAGACAATATCCCCAAGACTCCAGAAAAAATGGGGAAGGGGACAGGAGGCTGGAAGAACACCGCTGCTTGGCCCATTCTGCCAAGGGCTGGTCACTCCCTCTGCTCCCCCGCCCCACCAGCTCTGCTTGACCTTAGGGGACTCCTTTGAGGCCCTGGGGGGACATGAAAGTGGATTGGACTTTGACTCCAGGACATCTGTGCGGCTGAGCACACCCAGGGGTCCGTGTGGTAACATACCAGAGGACTTCCCACAGTACTGTCCAGCCCTGGTCAGGAGCCACCCCCGGACCCTGTGTTCTGCCCAATGGGAGATGAGCCACAGCAGGTGGAGCACATTCCCTGGGGCAGGTTCCGGCTCAGGGGAGAGGAATAACAAGAGGACCATCCATCCCGTGTGAAAAGACAGCCCCTTGTAGGGGGGCTGCCCCCTAATCTCTGGGAACCCACTCCCCACCCAGCCAAGCAGAGGCAGCTCTGAGCCCACCCGATGCTGGGCTGAGTGTCCAGGCCATCTGTGGCGTCCAGAGGGGACCAGGGTGCCAGGACCTAAGTGGGCGTGAGGGCAGAGGGGAGGTGTGGGCAGAGGGAGAGGAGGAGGGGAGGGCCGGGGAGTCAGGAGGAGGGCAAGAGTGGCCACAGAGAGAGGACAGCAGCTGGGACAGGGTCCAGGGACCTGAGGACAAGCTCGCGGGCCGAGCTGAGACCAGGGCAGGGCCCAGGTGGCGTCCTCACCTTTCACCACGAGCTCCAGCTGCTCACTGGGCTGAGACCATCTGGAGGCCTTATGATAGAGGCAGTGATAACGCCCGGCGCTGTCTTCACTCACTGAGTCAGTGCAGAATCTGGCCTCTGACTCAGATGCACTAAGTTGAGACACATGCTTTGCATCGTTGAACATGGATCTATTCTCCCACTCCAGGCGGAATGTGTCAACTCCAGCCGGGCCCCGGCACACGAAAGTCACAGGGCTCCCCCGGGGGATCACAGTGCCTGGCTCAGCCGAGATGGAGGGTCTGGGCAGGGCCCCTAGGAGGGAAGCAGAGAAGGACTCAGTGTCCACGGTAGGAAGTCACCATGTCACACATGTCATTCACATCACAATTCAGGGTTTTTAGCAAATTTATACAGCTATGCAGCCATAACCACAGCCCAACTTTAATACATTTCCCGCCTCCTGCACCTTCCACCTGTGTGTGAATTCTCATCACTGCGGAGTTATTTTCCCAGTGGACACTAAGGACCCTGAGACTTGCTCACAGTTTGAGCCCTGCTCAGGGTCACATGGAAAGAGTCAGAGTGGCCTGGGGCCCTTCGTGTCTGCTGCAGAGCCCAGGGCCACTTTCCAGAGGGACAGAGGGTGGGAGGGAGGCACAGCATGGGGAGACATGGTCACTCGTGAAGGACAGGGGACAGGGAAGTGAGGGTTCTGGAGATGATGGGTGCTGGGGCCTGAGGGCACTGGCTAGTCCCGGGATGGGACTGAGTGTGGGACGGGGGTTGCCAGGCTCCTGTGAGGGTCTGGTGGGGGTAAGAGGGAAGCCCCCAGCCCTGATCTGCTTGAAGCAGCCCAGCCTGTGACAGGTCCCTGCTGCAAGTGCAAGTCTCTGGGTTTTCCTGTAAAGTTTCTGCTTTCTTCTCAGCCTAATTTGCATTTCCTTGTTATTAAGGCTCTTGGAAAACCCCATTTGTCTCTGGGCTTGGGGTGGAGGAGGGAAGGGTGGGTGTGAAACCCTGAAACAGGAAAAGTTGTGTCAAAATCAGCAAAATCCCTGACCAGAGCAGAGAGCTGGCAAGGCTTCAATTCGCTCACCCATACTTCATCATTCTTTATGACTGACAAATCAAAACTGCATCTATTTAAGGTTTGCAACATGATGTTTTGATACAGGTATACATTGTGGAGTGGCTGAATCAGGCTAATTAGTATAACCTTAGTTTGCATGGTTTTTTTGTGGTGAGAACATTTAAAATCTGCTCTCTTCGCGGTTTTCAAGCATGCAATACATTGTGATTAATGCAGTCACCACATTGCACCCTCCTCAATTACTCCTCCTGTCTAGCTGAAATTTTGTGTCCTTCCACCATCCCAAACCCACCCATTTGTCCAGTTCTCCTTCTCTTAACCATATCTCAGTTGCTTGTCAATCTGTTTAAAGACGTTTTTCATGGGCTGCTGTTTCCACAAACGTGAGAGACACACACAGGATGCCTGCCCTTGGGAGGTGGACGTCTAGAAGGGAGGACAGATACTGATGGAAGAATTGTCCAAATCTGCAGCTGTGAACTGCAATCAGCTTCCTGTGGTTAGTGTGGGCATCTAGGGGCTGGTGGGCGGTGGAGCTGACCACCTTGGCAAAGTCGGGGGAAGGGCTGTTGAGCTGAGAGCTGAGGGAGGAGTAGAAGCTACCTGAGCTGAGCAGACAGGACACCAAGGCACTCACAGTGGGAAAATCAGCCAGGGAATGTCGCTATAAAGGATACAAAGTTTTAGTTAGAGAGGAGAAATCAACTCAAGAGATGTAATGTACAACACAGTGACTGTAGTTCACAGCAGTGTATTGCATTATTGGACATTGCTAATAGAGGTGATTCTAATGATTAGCACGGGAGGAATGCCTGCGTGACCTAGCTCGATGTAGCTGTTCCACGCTGTGCATAGCCCACAGCATCATACTGGACATGATAAATACATGCAGTTTTCATTGTTTTGTTTGTTTGTTTTGTTTTGCTTGTGGTTTTTCTTTTATTTTCTTTTTGTGTTTTTTTGTTTTTTGATAGAGAGTCTCGCTCCATTGTCCAGGTTGGAGTGCAGTGGCACAATCTCGGCTCACTGCAACCTCCACCTCTGAGGTTCAAGCAGTTCTCTTGCCTCTGCCTCCTGAGTAGCTGGATTACAGGCACCCATCAGCACACCCAGCTAATTTTTGTATTTTTTTTTTTTTTTTTTTTGAGACGGAGTTTCGCTCTTGTCACCCAGGCAGGAGTGCAATGGCGCGATCTCGGCTCACCGCAACCTCCGCCTCCTGGGTGCAGGCAATTCTCCTGCCTCAGCCTCCCAAGTAGCTGGGATTACAGGCACGCGCCACCATGCCCAGCTAATTTTTTGTAGTTTTAGTAGAGACGGGGTTTCACCATGTTGACCAGGATGGTCTCGATCTCTTGACCTCGTGATCCACCCGCCTCGGCCTCCCAAAGTGCTGGGATTACAGGCGTGAGCCACCGCGCCCGGCCTAATTTTTGTATTTTTAATAGAGACAGGATTTCCCCATGTTGGCCAGGCTGGTCTCAAACTCCTGACCTCAGGTGATCCACCCACCTCAGCCTCCCAAAGTGCTGAATTACGGTCATGACCCACTGCACCCAGCCTCATTGGTCATTTTTAAAATGATTTTTTTTTTAAATCAGCATGTGAGGCAGCCCAATATTGAACAGAACATGGAGTGTTTGAGAAAGCAAAAGAAGCTGCAGGAATGCAGAGATAAGTGAGCCTGAGGTCACGGGGACAGGATGTGGCTGGGAAAATCAGCATGTCCAGACCAAAGAGAGGGGTGTGGGTCTGATTCTACCTGAAGATAAACGGGAAGGGCTCTGAGGAAAAAATGATGTTTCACCTTACAATGAGATATTAAAAGAAAAATTTTGAACACAGTTTAAAAATTGTGGACGGTACAATGGTCATGTTTGTGCTTTCAAAAATCACGCATTCCTGGCGTCAGGAAGGGAGAGGGCAGCCGGGGCATGGACAGGCTGAAGCCGGCCTCAGGGAGCTGTGGAGGGGAGACGTGCAGCCACTTGGGGGAGATGCAGGAAAAGTAAAGGAAGAGAAGGAAAGATGAGAAAAATTTAGAGTGAAATCACCAGCACTGGGTGACAGGATGCATCTAGGAGGATGGAGAAGAGGATGAATCTTCAGAGTCTGCCCTTGGTGACTGTCATATTCCCCACCAAGGAGCTGCCGTGGGAAGTGTGGGCTCATCTGGGGAAAGCTCCCGGGCTCAGCCTTGGTCATGTTGGATTTGACCCATCATTGTGGAAATCAGTGTGTGGAAGTGACGCCTGCACTCCCGTGATGACTGCAGCACGACCCACAGCAGCCAAGACGTGGAAATAACCTGAGCGTCCACCCACAAATGAACGGATAAGGAAAATGTGGTGTGCATATGCAGTGGAATATTATTCAGCCCAGAAAAAGAAGGATGTTCTGTTACTCACAACAACATGGATGAACTGGAGGATATTACCCTAAGTGAAATAAGCCAGGAACAGAAAGACAAACGCCACATGTGGAATCTGAAATAAAGTTCATCTCGGCCGGGCGTGGTGGCTCACAACTGTAATCCCAGCACTTTGGGAGGCCGAGGCAAGTAGATCACCTGAGGTCAGGAGTTCGAGACCAGCCTGGCCAACATGATGAAATCCCATCTCTATCAAAAATACAAGAATTAACCAGGCATGTTGGCACATGCCTGTAATCCCAGCTACTTGTGAGGCTGAGGCAGGAGAATCACTTGAATCCAGGCGACAGAGGTTGCAGTGAGCCAAGATCGCGCCACTGCACTCCAGCCTGGGTGACGGAAGTGAAACTATGCCTCAAAAGAAAAAAAAGTCATCTCACAGAGGTAGAGAGTAGAATAGTGGTGTTAGAGGCTGGAGGTGGAGGGCCTGAGAGAGACACCGATCAAATGATACAAACTTTCAATGAGACAGGAGGAATAAGTTTTGCGATCTATTGCACAGCAGGCTGATTATAGTTAAGGATCACTTATTATATATTTCAAACTTGCTAAAGGTACATTTTGAATGTTCTCATCACAGTAAGTATGTGATGTGATTGATATGTTAGTCTTTAATCTGTCCACAATGTTTACATACATTGTAACATCACATTGTATCCCATAAACATATCCAATTCTTTGTCAATCAAAAAAAAAAGATTTTTAAAAATAAGAAAAGCAAAATGCAACAGGTGGAGAATAAAGGAGAGAAAGGGGTGAGGGCTGTGCATTTCACATTTGGAATCGTTTGCACTCTAGGGTACATTTCAGGGGATCCCTCCAGGCCTTCTGAGAATCAACATCACTCCCACCCAGAACTGCCCTTGGGGTATAGAGGGGACTGGGGAGACGGGATGAAGATGGGACCCACCCTCCTGCATGTGGATCGTCTGGGCCAGGCAGAGCACTGGAAGAGAAGCCGCAGTGAGAGAAATACCCACCACCCAGTCCTCATACGGGGCTGCTATCAAAAGGGGGCTCCATGCAGCTGGGGGCATTCAGCATTTCCTAACGACCAAACCACCCCTCCTCCACATCACTGTCTGAGTATAATCCTTCTTGCTGCAAAATGGTTTCAAGATAAATCCCAAAGTCTCCTCTTCCAAAAAGGCTCCTGCTCCCCAAGCCCTTTTTTATTTTTTGGAGGTGGAGTTTCGCTCTTGTGTCCCAGGCTGCAGTGCAATGGCTCGATCTCGGCTCACCGCAACCTCCGCCTCCTGGGTTCAGGCAATTCTCCTGTCTCAACCTCCTGAGTAGCTGGGACTACAGGCACGCGCCACCATGCCCAGCTAATGTTTTGTATTTTTGGTAGAGACAAGTTTTCACCATGTTGACCAGGATGGTCTCGATCTCTTGACCTCGTGATCCCCCCGCCTCGGCCTCCCAGAGTGCTGGGATTACAGGCTTGAGCCACCACGCCAAGCTTATTTTTATTTTTGAGACAGAGTCTTGCTCTGTTGCCCGGGCTAGAGTGCAGTGGCATGATCTCGGCTCACCGCAACCTCCGCCTCCTGGGTTCAAGCGATTCTCCTGCCTCAGCCTCCCGAGTAGCTGGGATGACAGGCGTGAGCCACCACGCCCGGCTATTTTTGTATTTGTAGAGACGGGGTTTTACCACGTTGGCCAGGCTGGTCTCAAACTCCTGACCTCAGGTGATACACCCTCCTCGGCTCCCAAAGTGTTGGGATTACAGGCGTCAGCCACTGTGCCCGGCACCCTAGTCCCTCTTACATCTGACCTCATCCCCACACCCAGGCCCCTGCTTTTAGGACAAGGTCTTCTCTGGTCAGACTTAGGCCCTGGGCAGAGCAGCAGGGCAGTCTTGGGGGAGGAGGAGACTTCCCCCCCAGAATCCTCAGGACTGGAGTCAGGCTTGAGCAGGGAGCTTTCCAGCCCTCCCTGCTGCCTCCAGGACTCACCTAGGCCCAGGAGGGCGGTGGGGTGGGGAGACATGACCCCGGTCCCAGACTCTGCAGCAAATGCCAGCGGGCGGGTTGTGCTGGCCGGGCGCCTCCTGCCTGTGGGGTTCCCACCCACCGCAGCTGCCTCACACGAGAGGAAGAGCTTTTTATTCTGTTCTTTTCACACTTCTCACTAGTGAGACGGAAGGGAGGGCCGTGGTTTCTGAAAAAGGTCACCCGCATTGTCAGATGACACTAACCTAGTTACCCCATGTGTCGCCTCTTTCTAAATCTATGGGAGCAGGGAACTTTCCAGACCTCCCGACCCCGCTCCCTCCAGGACTCACCTAGGCCCAGGAGGGCGGTGGGGCGGGGGTACATGGCAGAATAAAGGTCCTTGTCCTATGGGGTCGTGCAACAAACTGACTTGGACGCCATCCCAACTCCACAAGTCAACGGCCGCAGCTCTTGGGCAAGACGTTACAAACCCAGAAGCTGACATTTCCTCATATTTGAAATGGGAGCCACAGAAACCCTTCTCCAAGTTTTTAATATTGTGATCTTTGCTAAAATCGCAACAAGGTATTTAACATGTTAAAAACATCCTGCAGTGGATATTATTTGTTTAAGGCGACAGTATTGGTGAGGATGTGGAGAAACTGGATCCCTTGCATACTTCGGTGGAAATGAAAAATTGTGCAATCACTGTAGAGAACAGTGCAGAGGTTCCTTAAAAAATTAAAAATAGAACTACCAGCCAGGCGCGGTGGCTCAGGCTTGTAATCCCTGAACTTTAGGAGGCTGAGGCGGGCGGATCATGAGGTCAAGAGATTGAGATCATCCCAGTCAACATGGTGAAACCCCGTCTCTACTAAAAATACAAAAATTAGCTGGGCATGGTAGCATGCACCTGTAGTCCTAGCTGCTGAGGAGGCTGAGGCAGGCAGAGAACTGCAACTGAGCAGTATGGAGGGTTAATGTGTGGTTAGAGTTCCCACATGGGCACTGGGTGCAAAGAGAGGCACCACCCCCAGACCCAGAATGGTGGAGCCACCGGCAGCTTGCAACCTCTGTGTGGAAAAGCCACGGGGGCGGAGCTGCCTGCAGCCTTGTGAACCAAGCAAACCTCATATCAGTGTACCCCGGATGTGGGACATGGAGTCAAGGATTGCTTTAGAGCTTTAGGAGTTTGTGACTGCCCTGCTGGATTTCAGACTCGGGTGGGGCTGTTAGCCCCTTTCTTTTGGCCGATTTCTCCCTTTGGGAATAGGAGTGCTCCCAGTGCCTATGCCCCCATTGTATCTTGGGGATAAATGGCTTGTTTTGATTCTACAGGATCATAAGTGGAAGGAACTCCTTTCCAGATGAGACTTTGGACTTGGACTTGGGACTTTGGACTTTTTGTTGTTGATGTTGTTGAGACGGAGTCTTGCTCTGTCACAGGGCTGGAGTGCAGTGGCGCAATCTCTGCTCACTGCAACCTCCACCTCCCGGGTTCAAGTGATTCTGCTGCCTCAGCCTCCCGAGTAGCTGGGACTACAGGTGCATGCCACCGTGCCCAGCTAAGTTTTGTATTTTTAGTAGAGACGGGGTTTCACCATGTTGCCCAGAATGGTCTCAATCTCCTGACCTTGTGGTCCGAAGAAAGAGGAGAAACAGAAAACATTTGTGCACTTGCAAAATGTACTTACACATGTTATTTCTGTCCAGATCTTTGGCTAAAAATAGTCATTACAGTCAGCTACACATGGATGCAAAGGAGACTAGAAAAAATGTCGCTTGGTGTGGGGTAGCCACCTCCCAGAGATTCGAGTGCAGTGTAGGGGGAAATACAGAATGTTTTTTTCTGGTGAGCAGCCACACATCTCTGCCTATTGTGAAAAATAATCTCAAGAAGAAGTGTACCTGAGAACGTCTAGCCAAGGAGCACGATGTTGTAACACCCTGATTGATAGACCATCTGGAGTGACTGACAGACCATCTGGGGTGATTGATGGACCATCTGGAGTGATTGACGGACCATCTGGGGTGATTGACAGAACATCTGGGGTGATTGACAGAACATCTGGGGTGACTCACAGACCATCTGGGGTGATTGATTCCTCTGTACTTAGAAGGACACCAAAACCAACATTTCAAGTAATATTAACAGAAAAATTGTCATCTTCCCTCTGGAGCCCAGGCAAGTCTTAGTTAACCTGAAGTAGAAGCCACTAGAACCGAGGGAGGCAGCTGTGTGCACGCTGGTGGTCTTCTCCCCTCCCAGTTCTAGTTCCTTCGATGAAGGAAGGGGTCTACATGGCCCCCTAAGTTTCCTCTTTCTCTAAACTGGGGGTGCAGAATCTGAACCTGGGCAACTCACCAAACCCCCTTTTAACAGGAGGTCATAGGATATTGTTTGTTTAGCGCACTTCCTACATCAGCAGATATGGCGCTCAGTGCAGCAAAACTCACGGCTCCCTTATGGGGTGCCGAGTTGTCCCTGGCGGCCACTGCCCCCTGAGGGACTGTATCATCCTTCTTGCCCCCAGCTGTGGCCTCGTGACTCATTCCCACACTTGGAATGTGAGCAGCAGTGATGAGTGACATTCAGATTTTTTATTTAAAAGGCACGGTCCAGACTGGGCTACAGAGTGAGACCCCATCTCAAAATAAATAAATAAATAAATAAATAAATAAATAAATAAATAAATATAGGTGCCTTGACCCTGAGAGCCAGCCCAGGAGCCACTGAGCACTGTGGGGTATAGTCAGGGGCTGAGGGCTGAGGAGCCGGCAACAGGAAACGCAGCGTGGGGGGACTGTGGGAGACGTGGAGGGAAGAGAAAGTTTCTGTGAAACCACAGTCAGCAGATGATTTGCCTGTCGTAAGTTGCATGGACTCCAATAATGAGGAACAGTATGTGCATTGATTGAGCAGGAGTGTCTAAAAGGCCAAATAAAGTTTTGGCATTTTACCCTCAGGAGAGTGGGAAGGGTTTTGAACGTAAGTGTGGCATCATCATATTTCTGTCTAAAATGTATTTCTAAGACCACTTCCTGAAGTCAGACTTGCAAGAAGCAATCAAAGTAAAAGGTTACGTTTTCTGAGCCCTTACTCTATGCCAGACACTGCTCTGAATCCCCTGTATGGGTAGTTTATTATTTTATTTTATTTTATTTTTGAGACAGTTTCACTCTTGTTACCCAGGCGGGAGTACAACGGCACGATCTCGGCTCACCGCAACCTCCGCCTCCTGGGTTCAGGCAATTCTCCTGCCTCAGCCTCCTGAGTAGCTGGGATTACAGGCACGCGCCACCACGCCCAGCTAATGTTTTGTATTTTTAGTAGAGACGGGGTTTCACCATGTTGACCAGGATGATCTCAATGTCTTGACCTCGTGATCCACCCGCCTCGGCCTCCCAAAGTGCTGGGATTACAGGCGTGAGCCACCGCGCCCGGCTAGTTTACTTAATTTTCACAACTTTGGAAAGGTGTTTTCATCACTAGATTCATTTTACAGATGAGAACACTGAACTCAGAGGTTGAGTCATTTGATTAGTGTCATGCATTAACATGCATGGATTTCATGGATGGAACTGGGTTTCCACCCAGGAAGGAAGTATGTCCTTACCTGTTATTATTATTATTATTGAGACGGAGTCTCACTCTGTCACTCAGGCTGGAGTACAGTGGTGCGATCGCAGCTTGCTGCAACCTCCGCCTCCCGGATTCAAGCAATTCTCCTTGTTTCAGCCTCCCAAGGAGCTGGGATTACAGGTGCGTGCCACCATGCCTGGCTAATTTTTGTATTTTTAGTGGAAGTGGGGTTTCACTATGTTGGCCAGACTGGTCTGGAACTCCTGACCTCAGGTGATCCATCTGCCTCGACCTCCCACAGTGTTGGGATTACAGGTGTGAGCCACCGTGCCTGGCCGTCCTTACCTATTATTGATATGTCATTATATTTATTAAAGAACACAAGAAAAATCCAGTGTGGATAGACCAGTTAGAAAGTTCTTGCCTTCCAGGACAGTGATGAGTTGTTTGGATGGGAAGGATCACAGCAGGAATTTCAGTAAGTATGTGGATTTATGACTGGGAGGTAGGCTCAAAAGAAATGCTGATGGAAGTTTGGCTTTCAGAAGTATCTGACTAGGTTGTGTTAGACTAAACTTCTCACTATTAAAACAAATTTTTTTTAAAGATGAACAAAAACCAAGGAACATCTGTCGGTAGAAAGTGGCATGCTTCCAAGGCAGAGAGATTTAGGTTTCCAAGAAATAAAGAAGGAAGGAAGCCAAGTAAGGAGATGATATCATTTAGGGTTAGT